ACCCAAGGCTGGTGCCCGGCAAACATCTGCTTTCATTGTGCTGGGATGGAGTCCAGGGGCAGGACAGACAAGTGAGCGATTCCTTTCACTGTGTGCTACCATGGGGGGGATTTAAGGCTCCTATCAGTACAATGAGAAGACTTTTCAGCCCAACCTTGGGAGTGAATCCAAGAACAGATGCCTTTTCTCTTCCTGGCATGCCATAAACTCCATGAACTTGAGTCACTTGTTACAAAATCTAACTTTTGTACAGGAATGCTTCCCATGACTGGCACCCTATCAGAATCACCTGGGAACTTGAAAATGTTCATTTTCTGGCCCCACCCTGAGACCTAATTCAGTAAGTCTGGGGTGGGGCCTGGGTTTCTTTATTGGCAAAAAATAATAATAATAAAATAAAAATCCCCAGGTTGTTCTGATGTTCTGCCAGAGTGGGAACAACCGTTCTGGAAGATACGGTTGAGTCACTCCCATCAGTTCATGCCCTTGCACATCCCGGAGTCCGAGTGTGGGATCTTAGGAAGCTAAGTTCCCTGGAGACTTAGCATGTTCTCAGACACCAGCTATTGGGAGAAGTTTCAAAAAGTGCCAGTGTCTGGTTGAGCAGAGCTTCTTGCCAATTCTGGTAATACCTATAACTGCCTTTCTCATTTCTCGCCATCACCACATTCCACCTAAATCTTGATTTACTCTCGACTGTTTCTTAAATATAATTATTAACACTCAGTAGCATGTGTTTACACTTTAAAGCACTACCAGAAATGGAAGCAGTATCTTTTGTTAAAATAGAAGGTAACCCTAAAGTGAATTCAACAAAAACAAACCACTTTTTAAAAGTCTAGCTAGATACTCTGCCTTCCCATCTGAGTCTAAGATCTGTGCTATCTTACATGAAAAAAAGAAATTAGTAAGTGTTAGCTGCAGAGAGATACTAGGGGCCAGTTTGTGGCAACCATAGTATACTCCTTAAGGGAACCTGGAACCTGCAAGGTGACTGCAGTTCGAATCCCTGGTCCGGTCAGCCTAACACACATCAGACATGCACACACATGACCAAGATCTGATGGACTGGATGACTGTAGGGAGGGGATGGTGACAGGGGCCAACTGCGCCCTGTGGAGGGTGCTCGTCTCTGTCCCTTTGTCTCCTTCTTGCTCTCACTCGCTCACTCTTGTTCTCTCGTATGCGTGCATGTGAGAAAAGAAAAGGAACACCAGCACCAAATTAAGACTCTCTCAGATTCCAAGAGAATTGAAAGCAAGTAAGTTTCTTTTTTTTTTTTTTTTTTTGGAGAAGTTTTTGCTATAGGGCGCGTGCGCTCACCATAAAGACAGAAAGAGACAGAGAGACAGAAACCGAGAAATCACCCCCACACACACAGGGGGATGGCCACATCGCAATCCCTTCTCCTCCATTTTCCTCTTGGTTTCTGGGGCATGCACACACACATGCCCAGCATGAGTTTAAGCCAGCGGGTCCAGGACTCGAACTGCACGGTCAACTACATGGGAGTCCAGCAACACAGCCACTATGCTAACTGCTGGTCCCGAAAGCAAATAACTTTCTCACAGTGTGGTTCAACATTATTTAATGTCCTATCTGTACCACCTATTAATACCTAGGTGCCATTGTCATGCCTCTCGCTGGTGTACCACAATCTTTTTTTGTTGATCGCTAACTGAAATGCTCTGTTTGTAGTAGTAGGAAAAAAAAAATCCAAATTAAAGAAAGAATACTCTAGAAGTTTGGATCTGATGATTGACTGGGAGGCTGTCAAAAGATAGGTGTTTGAGAATGATTATAAGTTACGTCCAATTTTTAGCTAGCTACTAAAGACAAGGAGAGAGTAGAGGAAAAATTCACAAAAGTTGGGGAGAACCTTCGAGAAGGGCTACATCCAGAGTCCACATTCCCTGCCTGTTTCTCTCTCTTCTGATTCTTCCAAGACTGGCCCAGCTCCTGAATTCTCCTTTTCCTAGTTCCCAGCCTTCTAGGTGTTATTTTAACAAAAGCTTTGTGAAGGTGAGGCTCCCACCCCATGCATCCCTGCCTCCTGCACTTGGGGCAATGCCTGGCCCACCTGACCTCCCAGTAGATGCTTGTTAAGTGACTGCCTAAGGGCCAGCAGGTGGCGTAGTGGTGCTGGACTCCCTTGTAGCCGGCCATGGTTTGAGTCCTGGGCCCAGTGGCCTAAAACTTACACCGGGCATGCATGCATCCTGCTCAAATTCCCTAGAGGAGAATGAAGGAGAAGGGGTTGTGGAGTGGCTATCCCTTCTGGTGGGTGATTTCCTGCTTTCCGTCTGTCTCTCAGGCCCATACCCTATAGCAAAAATCTCTCAAACGAAAACAGACTGCCTGAATGTAACACAGGCACCAGATCGACAAGGATGGGCACCTCCTGCAGCCCCAGCTGGTTTTCTGCTGTACCTCCTGGATCTGATAACTGATTGCTGACTGCAAGACCGTGGGATTTTGCTCTGTAGGCTCTGGTCCCTAGCAGAGGCCCATAAAGCTATATTGGGTAATTAGAACTAATACCCTTTTGCTGGCATTGCCAACTATGAAATAGGGTTTTCTCTGCCTCAGTTGCCTAAGGAATGGGCTGGGATTGGGTGCGGCTGGTCATGGGTGGAGGCAGTATGGGTGGTTTAGTGCAGGTGAATTATGATCAAGAGGCCTGGGATGTTAAGACGGTCAGATGGCACTCTGCAAACAGCACCCGGCATGCTGCACTGGACAGGCACCAAGGGGGACATTAAGTTTCCTATAGCCCAAAAGCCCTGGTGAGAAAAATACGTGTGGAACTAGTTATTCTCGGTAACTCCCCAGGAGGGAGGACCATGGAGCAGGTGGGTGGGCTGTGCATAGAAGGCATCCCAGATTATACGGACCAGGCCTCACGATTGGCAGGTACATGGTGGGGGGTAGGCAGTGGGGAGTAGGCACAGGTGAAACCCATCACAATGACTACAGTAATAATGTCACCACTTGTCCCTATTCCCGAAATTCTATTAGCCCGGGTTGGCTGTATAGTTAACAATATTGTGTATATTTGATTAAAAGAAGGAGAGAAAAAAGCATTTTTTAGCAGAAGTTCTCAAACTGGAATGAGCAGGAGATTTGTCTGTGGGAGTCAGAGTTTTGGGTTCAAAATGCAGATTCCTGAGAGAAGTTTCTGACTTAGAAGGTCTAGGGTGGTGATGCTCCCCGGTGGGCTTTCCTGGGCGGGGGAGGGGGTGATGGGCAAAGTCAGGTGATGGGTCTTGAACTTCGTGGGCAGAAGCTAGGGATACAACAGACAGCCTACGTGGCTCAGAGCTGCCCCACCCAACGAACTATCCAGACCAAAATATCACTCGTGCTGGGGTCTGAAAATCTCGTGCTGGGGTAAGGGCCAGGCTTGTGCATCTTCACCAGAGCCTCAGGAGATCCGAGTGCAGGAAGCAGAAGCTGTAGGCAATCTAATGCAGTGATGTCAGGCTGCTTTTCCCCTAAGGCCTCCACACTTAGGACTAGGTTCAGTTCCATGCTCCCTAAGAAGCCTCACCAGGTAACATGGAGCCTTCCTCCAAGCCCAGGTGAACGGCCCCTCCAGGTGAACCTCCTTTCCTAGCCAGCGTCACTTGGTTCTTAACTGTTAGTCTCTTTCACTGGAAGGCAAGCTCCTTGAAGACGGGAACTAGGTTCGTCCTCGACATAGCCGTGTCCCCAGCACGGAGACAGGGCCTGGCCTACAGCAGGACTCTGTTGTCACACGTTGGCTTCAGTCTGTCTGGGCTCAAGTGATACCTCCAGTATGGAAGGCAGCACGAATTGTTTCCTGGCTTCTCATTTATCCAGTGACTTGATATTGAGTACTGCCTGTGGGCCCGGTGCTTTGCCCTCACCGGAGACAGAACGAAAAAGGCAAACCATCCTCCTCCCAACACAGCTAATAGTCTTGAGGAAGAACTTGGACAGTAAACAAGAGGAAAAGCTGTCTATGGTAAGTGCGACACTGACGAGACCAGCGGGGAAAGTGAAATGGAGAAAGGACGTAGGAAGTTTGTGTGTGTGTGTGTGCACGCGCGCGTGTGTGAAATTGTAAGCAAGGTAGCCCTCTGGGAGGAAGTGACCTTTTAGCACAAACTGGCTACTGGGGGCAACTGGTCTGTCCTCTTGCATTAGAACACGAACACAGAGAGGGCCAGGGTCTCCAGAGCAGGTACACAGTACGTGCTCAGTAAATAGTGCACACCAGAAAACTGAGATAGAAAGAAGAATATGTGATTGGACTACCAGGGGGTGGCAGAGGGGAGAGTTCTGGTTTTAGGATTGATTACCCATTGATTAGTGGGAAGGAGGGAGGGACAGGGGGTTGGGGAGGACATTCTGGGGTTCAGGTTAAGACCTAGATGAAGGGGGTCCTCATTGGATGAGGTTCCCTCCTCCTCCAAGCCCAAGCAAACCTAAGTTCTCCCCTCCTAGGGCTGTTTGTTAATGTCCCTGCAAGTCAGCTCTCCAGCCTCTACACTCCCTTTCCAGCTTCCCAGCAAGGGAGCCCTCACCCTGCCCCTTGTCCCCTACTCTCTCCCTGCCCCAGGCCCTCCTCTGCCCCTAAGGGTGCCCACACTCCGGGTAGGCACGCCCTCAGACCTGCAAGAAGGACGCACCCAGGGGCCCCGCAGCCAGGGTCCCCACCGCCAGCCCCTCTCCCTAGCGGGACACTGTCTCTTTAATAGACTCCCTCTGCCTGGCGCTCTGCGGCTGGGGAGTAAATTTCTCCCTGTCATCAGGTCGCGGGGAGAGGAGGAGGAGGAGGAGTTTGTTAATGTTCAGTTTGTTCAGCGGGATCGATGTTTGCTGGCATCGCCTCGCCCTGTCTTGTGTGTGTGTGTGTGTGTGTGTGTGTGTGTGTGTGAGAGAGAGAGTGTGTGTGTGTGTGTGTGTTTGTGTGTGTGCGCGCATATGTGGGGGGTGTGAGTGTGTGTGTGAGAGGAAGCGAGAGTGCGTGTGTGTGTGTGCGTGCGTGTGTGTGTGTGTGTGTGTGTGTGAGTGAGTGAGTGAATTCCAGATTTTCTGTCTTTCCCAAACCCGCTCCTGTCCTCTCGCATATCACTCACAGACGGGGATCTGACAGCAGCCACAAACCGGCAGTGAGTGATCCCCCTGCACGGAGCCGCCATAGAGATCGGCGAGGAGGAGGAGGAAGAGCAGGAGGAGGTGGAGGAGGAGGAAGGAAAGAGCAGAAGGAAAAAGAAGAAGAAAAAGAAGAAGAAACCCACTACCTTCCCAGGATTGCCTTTTCTCCCCCGTATCTTTACGCGCGCGTGTGCGTGTGGCGCGTGTGCGCCCCTCGTCCCTTCCATCTGAACCCGGGCTTGGATGTTTAATAAAGAAATCAAGTGTTTCAACAGTCACCAAAAAAAAAAGCAAAAACAAAAAAAAAATTCCAAAAGCAAAAACAAAAAAAGAAAGAGAGAGAGAGAGGAAAAAAAATCCAAAACAAACAAACAAACAAGGCAGAGCCAACCTCTACTTCAACCCAGCCGGCACCAGCCACCGTGTCTGCCACCGGAGAGGGGGGTCTCTGGCCCGTGGTGGAGGAGTTGCAGGGGGGATCGTCAGGGGGACAGAGGCCGAGTGACGTCCTAGGAGCCACCGGGCGAGAGGCGGAGGAGACCCAGAGAGGCCAGAGAGACAGCGGGCCCCCGCGCGCGGCTCGGGCTGGGGCGCCAGAAGCGGGCCTGGAGCGAAGTAGAGAGATGCCCAGGAGGAAACAGCAGGCACCCAAGCGGGCGGCAGGTAAGAGACCCGGCTCCGCTCCGGGGCGGCCCGGGCCGGCTGCGCCGTGCGCCGCGCTCCTCGCCCGCCCTCCTCGCCCTGGGCTGCCCCCGGACGCCACCCCCTTGGCTTTCCCGGGGAGTTTGCCCGGGTGCCTGGCTAATAACCCTGTCCTCTCTCGTCTGCTCCGATCTCCGGAATCCTCCCTCTGCAGGCTCCGGTTGAGTGGGGGGGAGCTATCCCACCGAACCTTCCCTCCTTAAACTTTTTTCCCTCCACCCTCCTCCCCACCCCTAACTTTCTCCCATTCTGTTTCTTGCCTCTCGGGCCAGAGTCGGATTGAAGATTTGGGGTGAGGAGTAGGGAGACAGCCCTCCACCCCCGCATCCCTTCGCGTGGTCAGTGTCAGTGTCTTCCAGCCTCCAGGGACTGCTTGTCTCCTCTCGCTGGGGCTTGGGGCGCTGAGTGAGGTGTGCCCCAGCCCCGTGCTGTAGGCTGGCTTTGGGGCGAGCAATAGGAGTTTAGCTTTGATTTCTAGGGTGGAAACACACACACACACACACAAACACACACACTAGAAAATGGATGGAGCTTTGAATATGTTTTCTAAAAGGATCTACATTTGGAAATCTAATCAACAGTCTCTTAAAAAAAAAAAAAGAAGAAAGTGTGTGTGTGTGTGTGTGTGGGGGGGTGTTCCCCGTTGAAATTGAAGCAGCTCTGGGTTTTCTTTGCCCAGAGTAAGCCGCAAACTTTGTGAATTGATTTGTATGGTAGGACCGATTCCATCGGCATCCTTAGTTTCTGAGACCACTTCCCTGATGGTCAGGAACAGGTTAATGGATCAGTACAATAGATCTTTTAAGGGATTTTGTCCTTTACTTTCTTTTGGGTTGCTTAATTGCTTTTTTAATAGTATGCTGGGGTTTTGTTTCTCGGAAGTGTAATATGAAAGTTCATTTTTCTCCTGCCAGACCCACCCACTGAAAAATCAGCTTTCCACTTGATTGCTAGTTTTGATTTGACATTTGATTGATCACCTGTCATCTCGCTGCCTTTGATCTATTCATTCTTGATATATATCAATAAATCACTCACCATGGTAACTCGGAGTGCCAGTGACGCAAAGCCTTGCCCTCTATACTCAGAGCCAGCCGCGCACAATTATTATCTTGTTTGGCTTTTAATGTGGGCGTTTTTATTTCTTTGTGTCCTTTAGTTGAATCATGGCTTTGGCAAAAATGCTGTAGGTTTCATTGTTTTTTTGTTTGTTTGTTTGTTTTCTCCCTGGCCCTGCCCTCCTGCTACACAGGGCACTCGTTAAGACTGGTCTCCAGAAGACACCCCACCACGATCCATTTTGTCCCAACCAGAGCAAAACATTAGGAGAAGTTTGGTGGGACACTTGAAGAAACTTTGCAAAGTCACCCTTAGAACAAATCCATAGTGGTGAATCCGGGGAGAGTGGGTGTCGGTGTCTGAACATGTGGGACCACTAACCTTATCCTCCCTCTTTGCCTTACTTCAGCCCGGATGATAGACAATCGTCTTTCCTTCTGGGTGCAGGACTGCTTCTGACACATTTGTAGGTTGGTCTAAATTGCATGCGGAAGTATCATTTGTAAAGCTTTGATGAACCTATTTCCCAATTGTTCTCCTAAGAGCAGAGATAATTAAAATTTTTTTTGTGTATATTTCTTTGGAACTTACCTAGTGAGTGAGGTTCGCTTGTTTCAAGTCTGGCTACCACTTTTACAAACGACATCTCTCTCTCACTTCTGTCCTTCTGTGCTTTTAACTCACTTCTTTTTTCAAAGTCAGACTGCTTTATAATCTGACAGTGCTGGCCTCTGAGACTCAGGAAGAATAAGCTTGCTATATCTAGTTCTGGCAACATAAGTTCGAGTGTAGCTAGATTATTAGAGATAACGTTCTTATTGTCCCGAAAGAGAACCCTGGGCTACAGTCCAGCTAAAAGTGATACTGCCCTGAAAATTACTCTTTTTTTTTTTTCCTTGTTGTTCCGGTAAAGGCCATCAACAACTAGGCAGTCATTTAAATTACCAGAATGACGGAGCATGTCTTCTTTGGTAAGCTCATTACAAAAAGTGCATTGCTCAGAATTGCACTACTTTGATTATAATTATCCTCTGATCAATGAGGATTCAGGTGTACGTAACAGAATGCTGTATCACATTATTTAAATGAGATCCTTTTCATGAAGCCGTATCTATTGGTGCTGGCTAGTCCATTTATTGTAGAAACTTGCGACTGTAGTTTCAGTTTTTCTGGCCTATTGGATTCCTAATGTCTTTCTATGTTTGTTTTCCTGACTCTCACTATTTTCATTGGAAGAAGGAGAAATCCTTTTCAAGCTGAAAGAGAATAATACATTTTGTACACAGCAAGGTCCCTCTCAACGGTATTTATTTGCTCACGTATTCATCAGGCAGAGCGTTTTTCATGCAGTGGTTCATGGATAACCTCCTCTAGGTTATCCATGCTGGACTCTGTTTTAGCTGAGGTGCTGATTCACAAGTAAAGTTAGACACTTTGGGATTCTTTAGTCAGTAAAATTCTGGGAAAGGAAAAAGGTGGGTTCTGAGATTATGGCCAGACTAACTTTTCTCGCTGCTTAAAATTAAACACAATGCACAACTGTGAGCGATTACGCCCCTGGCCTGATGTTGAAAGCTTGACTCCTAGCTTGATTAATGAATAATGGAAGATAGAAAAAGCCTGTGCCCGAACCGGAGAGCAGCTTCTCCTACAGCCCTCTTTTTCCCAAGAACTGTTCGAGGTGATTTGATTCGATTCTTTTGCATTATTAGTTTTAAGTTCCAAGTTTCAAGGAATCAATTACAGAACTTTCTAATAAAGCAGACTCCAAGTAGAAGAAACGGGATGATCACATAAGTGATGGGGAATTTCTGTCTGTATTTGTGATGTTTCTCCCCTTTCAAGGTGGGGGGAAGGAGTGAGGTAGGCAATTTTTAAGGAAACAGCTAAGTCAGACTGTTTCCCTCCGAAATGTCATTCTTCCTGGCATGCTAAAGCTATGCTATTCCACCATACTATTACTTAGGAGAGAAAAGAAAGTTTAGAAAGCAGCTTGCAGTCCTCCGGGAGTTTGTGTATGTGTGAATGTGTGCTCCCTCCCTTGGAGAGATATTTCGCTTGTCATTAAAATACATTCACTTTTTCCTGAAAATATTGCAGAATTCTATACCAGTATCTTTTACTCCCTATCCATTTGGGGGAAGATCGAGAAAATGGCAGGAAGGTAAAAAATGAAACAGAACAGTGTTTTGATTTGTTTGTATTTTGCAGAACGCGAGAGTTAAGAATTTTCAACTGTGGACTTATATTCTAACCCTTGTATTTTCCATAGGTTTTTCTCAGCCTCTGTCCACACACACATGTAATGCTTATTTTAATTCACCATCCGGAACTCTTGTTTTACAGTAGTGCCCGCCGATTACAATAGAATCGTTTGTGATCATAAACATGCAAATGTCTAATATATATGTAAGTTATGGGATTCTGTCCCTGCCCACCCAATGCAATTAGATCTTTCCTTCTTGCTGACTTTGAAGAGCTTTCTGGTAATCCAGATCAGAAGAGAGTCTTGCAGGCAAGAACAGCTCCCTCAATTTATTTTGTTTATTTAATATGGAGATGAATAATGCAGATTTTGTTTTCATGAATGTCCTTGTGTGGCAGTAAACATTAGACTATTAGCAATCATTACTTAAAAGTTGCAATTTGCACCTTAATAGCACAGGTTATTTATATGGGGAACATATCCAGCAGGGACAAGTCTGAATACTGCACTGGAGGAGAAATGACCTGAGAGATCTCTTTTTCCACCTCAAGAGAGCGCTGACCCTGGTCTACCTGGTGAGGCCCCAGCACCCTCAACCAGTAGGGCAGGGAAGGAGCAGGAAGCTCAGAGCTAAGTTTACCTTTCATTTACCAGCAAGTGGGACAGGATTCAAAAGATCAGGAATCTAGTGAGATGCAGGACCTGGCGCATTCACTTGTCTAAACAGCCTTGTAGAAAGACAAAGTTCACCTCTTAAACATTGAACTCTCTCATGCTATAGATTTTTTCACTTACCCGACAGTATGGCTTTAATAGATGAATGGAAAACACACACACACACACACACACTCCCCACAAAATCCAAAACAAAACTGTTTCGGCTATTCTTCTTTTTAAAAGCAGATCTGGAAAAGGAAGGACAGAAGCCTTACAATGGCTTTATCCACATGGTGTTTGGGATTGAAATTGATTGCCTAAGTGGTCCTTTCCCCACTCCCCTCCTTTCCTGCTCCTGCCTCTCACCTCACCCTTAAAGATCCAGATTGAATGGGACATCTCAAAAGCCCATTTGTTTTAGGCATTTATTGATTTCATTTTTAATCTGCCATATCAGGACACAATCCGTTCACCCTGATCAGCAGATTGCGAGTGACGGGGAGTTCTAGTGGAAACTGGGTAAGAGAGAGGGGGCTCTGGGAAACTTCTCTGCAATGAAAATCTTCTCTGAGGCTTGGGGACTTGGATGTTGGAACCTACATTTGGAGAGAGTAGAAAATTTCCTGAGAAATACTCTCTGCATTTCTCTCCCCACCACCTTGTTTCTCTCTCTCCCAGGCACCTTCATCCTCTTGCTACCCTTTGGAAACGCTTCATACCCAACAAATCCCCTCTCAGGCATCCTTAGGAGATCTGTCCCTGAAGCATCTTGACTTTTGTCTCATTCTCCAACAGGGGCTTCTGTTTGTTTTCCTTTAGTCCCAGCTGACTTCTCACGCGCACACATTTGATGGAATTTCTCCAACTGGATCATACCTGGCTGGGTCTGTTTCTCTTCCCAGTGGCTTGGGAATTGTGCTCTCGAGTGAGCAGCTTTTGAAGGGAGACGGTGCTTGGTGTTATTTAAGGCCATTGCAATGATGCACCTCAGCTCATCTCTGCAGCTGAGATTCGGAAAATCAGACAAGAAGCAAACCTA